AGTCATCTGGTGTTGGCAAAATATGCTATGACCTACAGTTTGAACTGGAATGCATGCGTATTAAATAGCAAATAAATTATTGTTTTTCCATGAATTAATTAACTGATCAGTCCACCCCCAAACTCCCCTATATTTTGCAAGCCCAGCATCATTGAGGAATAAACAACATATAGGGAACTCAAACATTACTATTTACACTTTTATTGCGGAAACCACTAGTTCTTTTGGAAGTTATGGAAAAATGCTCCCTTGTTATTGATTCACAGCATGTCAAATATCTGAGAAAATGTACCATGTTCGGGAGTGATGTAAAACAAAACAAAGGAAATAACATGACTTTTGGAGTTGTACTTTTAGCCCTGGAAGTGATGAGCATCAAATTTCCCCTCTTACATACGTGCATTGTAAAGCAAATACTGGTAGGCCTTTTTACAGTTGCAGCTGGAAATGAGGCTAGAGTTGACTCTGTTTTAACACAACCCTTCCTGCTTTATTATGTAAATCACGGTATTTTTGTGCAAACAATTATTATTATGCGTACTTTCCATAAGAAAAGTAGGGACGTTTGTATGAACACAAGCTCACCTCCATCATCGCATTCAATAAAAAGCTAGGGTACCAAATCCACTACTTAATACAATATTACAGTAGGGAATACAATTCAGGGGAATAGCAATACTTAAGTCTGGAATCTGTTAGCATTGCCACTGGTCAGGATGGTAAAAAAAAAAAAACCGAAACAGGTAGATCGAAACATGCTACTTTAGATAATTATAAAGCTGAATGAATATGATCTTCTCAATTATTTTACTAACAATTGGCAGAACCGATATAGGCCTATAATTATTAGGATCTGACTTACTTTCGCAACTTTCCAGTCATCAGGAAATATACAGCTCCTGAGAGATAATTAATGATAAATGTTAAAGAAGCTGTGATAACTGGTGCAGCTTCTTTCAGTTAGAGCTTGCATGATATTCTATCAAGGCCATTACCCTTGTTTAAATTTAATGACTGAATGATATTATACACATCTTTACTATTGATTTCATTAATGGCAAATATATGTTGAGTAGGGGTGATATACTCTCTAAAGCTGGTATCCATAGCAGGAAAGTCATTGGCTAGACGTGGCCCTACTTGTGTAAAATGATGATTTAAAACATTACTGATTTCACTTGAGGAAGAGTGAGTTACGTCCTCGATTTTAATGTTATTTATCTCTGCGTGATGGAGATTTTTTCCCACGATCATGTTCACCCCCCTTCCAAGATTCCCTAGTATTACCTAGAGTTTCTCTCAAGTAATTGTTATAACTAGGGGTATCTTCTGGCAAGTGCCAACGAGGCGAATTCGTTTATCTTTTGTGGAATGTGCCTGATAAATGGTTACATGATTTTAGAGGTTTAAAATGGATTCCGCTATAAAAAAGGATGGCACCCAACTTCGAAACAACAACTGTTTAATTGGCACATCCTAGGTTTTCACTTTTATTAAACCATAGCAACATGGCTTGAAGCTTTGTTGGTAAATTGGAACAAGCTAGCACTTATGTTGTATGGAAAATTCCTTTGTATCAAATCTATAAACGTTAAAAAGTAAAGTATAGTTCAACTGAGGCCTTTGACTGCTGAAATTAAAAATAAAATTAAATTCCGAGCTGTCGCCGATCTGACAGTATCATCAGGGATAAATAAGAAAAATATTTCGCATGGTAATATACATATGAAAAAAAATTGGTGCAAAGCAAAATGTGTGAAAAGCGCAAGAATGGGGCGGAATGTATCAGAGGTATAAAAATAAGAACTTGAATGAAATACAAAGATCTAATAAGCGAGTGTCACAGGACAGAGTCTCTCGAAAGGCATAATGAAAATGTCCGTATATTCGTTGCATTCCTCACGGAAGTTTAGGGCTGTCTCAATGTAAATCGAGCTACAAAAGAACATGCTGGTTGACAAAAATCTCTCAAAAGGCATAAATAAATTCTTAAATCCAAAAGGTCCGCAAATGCGTTGCATTCCTCACAGGAGGTGAGGACTGGCTCAATTCCTTGATCAGCTACCGCTTAAAACTCGATTTACAAAGGAAAAGCGAACACTGGAAACCCTGTTTGTGTGTCGAGAAGCAAACTATCGAGCGGCGAACAAACTGGTTCTGACAAAAATTTGACCGTAAAAGCCTATTCCATGATCAGGAGCTGCTTTAAACGCAATTTATAAAGCAAACCAGAGTACTAATGGCCCTTTAAACTCTAGAAATCGTATTATAGTTTGCCTACCTGCTAGGTCCTCTTGAACAAACAACGAAGAGCTGCACACTGGATCACCCAATTTCGGACCACGAGTTGTAAATACTAGACCATGACGTCACTACCCAAATATGGGATCTCAATTACACCCAAATATGGTCAAAAATACAAATTTAAGAGGGTTACGAAGAATTTGAGAGTTTTCGCCCACATTGCCCGGCAATATGGTTTCATGAGGTTTCAGTTTTCCCTTTGAAACACATCTGAAATGAATAGACTCTCTGGCCATCGAGCTCAAAGTCTTCTGTTATATACCGTAACTGAAAATGGAGCTTTACATGCAAAACTTTAACAGCCTCCTTTGTGGGGTGGGGTGGGGAATCTTAAAGGTTACGGACCATTTAAGTTTGAAATTGATCGCCGTATTATAGCATGCGTCATGACTATCTACGATCCACACGCGCACAATTTTCAGTTACGAGTCGTACGAATGACGTGGGTCTAAGTTACACGACACGGTCTGCCGTGAAGTCTTGACGTATGTATGGCAAGCAAAATGTAGCAATATTCAATTCGTTTAATTTTATATCTAGTTTTGTATTTTGTATTCAACTATGCGTTCAATATTCAACTTGTATTCAACATTCAACGCGTTATTCAATATTCAACTTCCATCAACATTCAGCTATTCATTTTAGGGACGGACCATTAGAAACGTTATGGGGGGAGGGGGAACTTTTGAGCGGCAGGAATTTTTTCGTTATCAAATTACTTGTATAAATTTTTTTTTAGGCCGTAGCGTGAACATTTTTCAGGCTTAATTGGCCTGCATGAATTTTCTTTCATTTAATTTTCCCTTGCGCGAATATTTTTTTTGTACTTCGTCCGCCTCCCCCCCGATAAGTTTTCTAATGGTCTGTCCCTTATATTCAATTCTTCATTCGCCCATCAATTATCTATTCAACAATTTAAACCATTCATTCAACATTCAACTTTATTTTTTAAAACATTCAACTATTCATTAGACTACTTGCAGTCCACCTTTTCTCTTAAAATCCGTCTAGTTCTTGATCTCATCCCGCGCGATTGCAACGATGTTATTATATAGGGATCGAGACGAGACGAGAAAAGACGGACTGCTGACTCTTTTGTAGTAAACAAACCCTTCGTCAGCCCAGAAACGGAGTAACCGATTGGTCAATTGCACAACTGTTGACTGATCTGTGGTGAGATTGTAAGCAATAAAAATAGTCACGCGTCACAAACAACTGCAAACAATAGCGAACCAAGCAGTAATCTCAGTTTAACAATAAAACTTAGAAGGATATCTTACAGAAGGAAACTGCTGTAAATTTCCTCAAGGGAAACGAATTCAAGGCAATCTTACCGGATTTAAAGAAAGTGTAATATTTTCAGATGTTTATGTTCTATTTATAAATCGTTTCAAGCAGTTCGGGTTTAATTGATTAATTAAGTTACCTTGACAACTTCGTTGTCCCCAGACAGAACAAAAGAGTCAGCAGTCTTATTTTTTCTTCTCGGGCTTACGCCATTGTCTCTCACGGCAAGCGGCGAACGTGCTTAGGGTTTGCGTGCAGTAATTGTGCAAAGAAATGTAAAGAGACTGCTCTCAGTATGGCAAGCCAAATGTAGCAATATTCAATTCGTTTAATTTTATATCTAGTTTTGTATTTTGTATTCAACTATGCGTTCAATATTCAACTTGTATTCAACATTCAACGCGTTATTCAATATTCAACTTCGATCAACATTCATCTATTCATTTTATATTTAATTCTTCATTCACCCAATTAATCAATTATCTATTCAACAATTTAAACCATTCATTCAACATTCAACTTTAATTTTTAAAACATTCAACTATTCATTAGACTGCTTGCAGTCCACCTTTTCTCTTAAAATCCGTCTAGTTCTTGATCTCATCCCGCGCGATTGCAAACCACGATGTTATTATATAGGGATCGAGACGAGACGAGACGAGACGAAAAAAAGACGGACTGCTGACTCTTTTGTAGTAAACAAACCCTCCGTCAGCCCAGAAACGGAGTAACCGATTGGAACCGAACGAACAGAATGCCGTCCATGCTTCAAATTTAATTTTCAATAAAACTGTGACAAATCTGTTTGACTTCAATTTAGTTGGAAATCTTACAAAAGTGTTTAAATTTAAAGAAAACGCTAGTAAGGAATACTTTCTCGTAAAATGCGCTCAATTTAAATCTTATTTCCCCCTTACTACTTCCTCTACGATTCATAACAGTTTTTTTTTAGAACAGGGAGCCCAAGTCGTCTGAAAATGTTTAAGAAATTATAGGTTGACTTTTCATATGTTAAGTAACAACTTCAATATAAACCTTCCATCGCGCACAAATATCTGCATCAAAGAACTGTAATTTTGTCAGTCAACTTAGTTGACCCAACTCGACTTGGTGTTGGCTCTTATCCATCCGTAAATTAAGCTGCAGGCCATTGTAATCAATACTTTCGAGCAGTCATTTTAACTTTGTGTTTGCATTTTAGGCGAATCTGTAGACTTGTTAGACTGCTTCAGTAGAATGACGCTGGAAGTTATACTCTCCACCGCGTTTGGTGTCGAAACTGACATTCAAAACGACAAAGAAAGCCTGTTATTTAGAGAGGTGAAGGAGGGTTTTCGCACTCCTTGGATAATGGACTTTTTAAGACGGTTTCCTTTTGGAATATATCTTTTAAAATTCTGGCGCAAATCATGCGCACTCCAAGGTATTTTGAAAAGGTCGCCTCAGAGATCTTACAGCAAAGGAGAAAAAGTGGGCCAACAGGAAGACAAGATTTGATGCATTTGATGCTGACAGCGAACGAGGATTCAACTGAAAAGGGATTATCCAAACTCACCGATGAAGAAATAATTGGCCAGTGTCAGATCTTTCTTTTCGCAGGTTACGAAACTTCGAGCAATACTTTGGCCTATATCACCTACCAGCTGGCCCTGAACCAGAATGTACAGGGCAAATTAAGAGAGGAGATCAAGGAAGCAGTCAAGAGAAACCCTGAAAGCTCTCTGTACGACCTTTCTCATGACATTGAATATCTGGATTGTGTTATGAATGAGTCACTGCGACTAAATCCACCTTTGGCTCAGGTTAACCGTGAATGTGTCAACGACTACAAGTTTAATGACATATTTATCCCCGCAGGACCACAAGTCATCATTCCTGTGTATTTTCTAGATCGTGACCCTGATGTCTGGCCCAACCCAGAAAAATTTGATCCCGAGAGATTTCGAAGCCCCGCCAAAGACTGTCGTCACCCATACCAGTTCTTGCCATTCGGTTTAGGGCCAAGGTCCTGCATTGGAATGAGATTCGCTCTAATGGAGATCAAGATTGCTTTGGTGAAATTCTTGATGAAGTACTAGTTTGTACGTTCACCCGAGACACAGGTACCTTTGGAAATTCTTGCTGGTGTCACTCTGATCCCGAAATATGGAGTCCACGTGAGAATAGAAAGGGTTTAGAACTCTTTGCTTCGGCTTTCCTATTCTTTTTTTGTGTTTGGTGTGGCTATCTCCGTTTGATTAGCTGCTACCATCAGTTTTCTAAACTTTGGGACCTGATGTTGGTAGCTGATATACTCGAACCAGGAAAAAACATTTTTTAAACTAGGATTAAAGAGTAACACCACCTGTTTGCGAGAAAAAAGAAGAAAGTGGTTTGTTGTCATAAAAATGTAAAACTAAGGTACTATTAAGTATAAATTTGGGACGAATAATCAGATGAATTAAGTTATGAACGTTTCAATAAATTTCGTTATGTATCTCTTAAGTAGACTAAGCTCGTGGTAACAATAATGCCAATTGTGCATCCTTATTGCTTTTACTGGAACTTTATAAATTACCATTGTAAATGGTAAATTGAAGTGACAACATCGTGTCAGACAAATATGTCTCTCAAGTACTATTTCAAAAGTTAACAAAAAATCAAAAATGAACTTCTACGTTAACGAGTTTTCAAAAAGCATAAGCAGAAGTTTGTCCATCCATGCTTCCTTTTGTATTTGCTGTGGTAGTTATCCCTTCTGTTGATGTTTTGATCGGTTATTTTTATGTTTCACTCAGTTTTGTGGTGGTTCTTACTGTTTGAAATGCCATTTAACACTGATATTCCACAATTTGGGCTCCAGAAATTTAAAAGAGTTTTTCCCGTGAGAAGTAGCATTTTCAACCTCGAAGTAACTGCGACTTGTTTGTGCCTCTCAGTATAAAGTGGAGTAACGCAATTTTGTAGTTCTGATCTGTTAACTTTCTAGTTTGCGATGTGCTGTCGAACTAAGTGTAATTATTTTAAATCCGTTTTTGGGATGAACATTAACTTGTTGGATTGTTGCTGAAAACGTAGCACAATTTGTGAACTGCCTAATTTCAGCTTTCATGAACTCGTTTGTGTTTTGCTCTGGACGAAGCAGGATGACAAATACTTTTGGCGCAAAACGCACAAAAAGAATTCCATATGCGGTGACGAGGGCAGTGGCACAGGCCACGATGGTTGTGTAAAAACCTTCCAGGGACGTGTCTACCGGGTAAAATGACACCCAGGAAATCAGGAGCACGTACATCGCCGACTCAATGTATCTCGTTTCGTTGAAGTTCTCTGAAGTCGCCTGGCTTTAAACGCGTAACCAGCGCATACTAGAGACAGCAAAATGAAATAGCTAAACATGGTTGCCCTAAGGACACTTCCGATAGCTGATCTGAATGGCATACAGGTGTAAAAACACATGTGTCTGTACTCGTATCTCCTGGTGCTCGTAAGGTGGATCAAGAGTTAGCCACAACACTGCCAGAATAACTTCAACTATGTTGAGTCCCAAGACCACAAGAAATTGACGTTTGCGATCCACGATGTATCGCTTGAACCAATTTGGAATGATGTTGGTCTGAAAAGCGCGGATCAAACGGTTTGTCTTCAAGAAGAGGATGGAAACAAAGGTCGTATTAATAAAGTACCTCAGAGGATAAATAATACAACATAACGTCTTTGTGGGCTGAGCAAGATAGAGCAAGGTGAGAACAAAACACAAAGCGATTGCGACAAGCAAAAGAAGGCTAAGTTCGCGATTGGATACCCTCACCAATGGTGTACTCTGGTTCTTCATAAAAACAAAGATGGCCATGCCTGTTGCAAGCAATCCAATAACCGTTAGGATCAAAAATACCACTGCAGTAGCATCTGACCACTTGATGTTGATAACTGGCAAAGGCAGGCATGCTGTACCGTCCCCGTTTGATTTATGTAGTTGTGGGCACTTTGTACAGTTGGGAGAACTATGCTGTTTACTGATGGAGCCCAAAGGACACTTAATGCATTCCCAGCTAAGGGACACAGTGATCGTCTGCCTGGTTCCCGGAGGACAGCGGTGACTGCACGTGGATATGGGAGGCTCATTTTCTTCATTAGCCCATTGTATTCGTTTGTCGTTGATTGTGAGGTTGGTACGAGTTCCCCCTGTCCATGTCCCCACCTTAACATTTTCATAATTCTCCGCCTGTTTCTGAAAGTTCACGATATCGTACGACGAAAAAGTGGGATCACCACTTTCGGTGAACTGCACTTGCCCTGTTATGCCTTGAAAGCTCACTTTCCTGAGTTTCAGAAGCATGGCTTCGGGTGTGACTTTGGCATTTTGCTCAGGACAGTACCCACTGGCTAAAGGTCCGCCTCCGGGCTCTTTACACTTCAGTAAAGAGTCCAGCGCGTGTGCAAGGGCATAGACGGCGTCTGTCAGGTAAGGAATGAACGCGTTGTGTAGTTTGGCGAAGGCTCGATCGTCTATTTTGGCCGGGTTAAGGCAAGCACCTTCAGACATTGAGGAGCAGTTTAGATGGCTTGTCCAAAACTCCTTCCACCACGGATTGGCGCTTTCTCGGGTCTTATTTAGTGTGATTCCCTTAAGATAATCCTCAAACAGATGGTCTGTGAAGAGATAAGGCCTTATTCCTATTGCTCCTTTTAGTATGACAGCATTTGTTTCCAAAACGTCTGGATTCATGGCAGCTATTGCTTCACTAATAAGAAATGTTCGTCCTTCAACACAGGTTGAAAAAAGGTGTTTCCGTTTCCGTTTTTGTAACGGTTATCTAACGGAAACCTGAATATCCGCAGACGGAATTGTGACGGGGAACACGTGTATCCGTCATGTTTCAGTTTCTGCGGACACGCTTAAACGCATCCCTTATACTCGCGTTTCCGTCAGGTTTACTCTTGCGGAAACGCTAACTGCCGTCATGTTTCCGCAGCTCGTAAATTCAGAGGATACTCAATTATCCGTTGAGTTTCCGGAAAAATGAATGCGGAAACTCAGTTTGACCGGTTTACTTTCTGCAGCCTTCATGTTTCCACAGATTCCACTTTCGGTGGATTATTCACTGGATTTCCTAAATGTGTTAACTTTACTTAACCACCCAGTTTCGAATCATATGTTCATTCTATCCGGTATATAAAAAAGTGGACGTTTGTGAGACAACCCTGGACCGTTTCATGCATCCACAATGACCCATTTTCGCTGATACACACAAATCAAGCTGAGTCATATTTAGGTGCATTTTTGGTATTAAAGTTTTTATTAAAATAATTCTATCTCCATTTTCATATAATATGTACATATGTATATTAAATATTTTCACAATAAAAAGAGACTCCTTACAATGTATTCCTATTTTCTATATCCAAAACTGTAACTTTTCAATTTCAATAGGCCACTTCCGAGTTCCAAAAACCCTCACTTTCAAAATGAGGCGAGGTGCGCAACCTTTCTTGTGAAATGAGTTTTATTTGCATGAGAATGAAAAATGATTTCCATATCAAAGGCTGAGCACTTAACTTCGTTTTGAAACAGAGGCCCTGGGAACTCGGAAATGGCCTATTAAATAATCCTTTTAGAATTGACAAAATTATAATAATTATAATAATCATAATAATTATACAGTCTAACCTCTTCTTATGGACACTTCTATACGACGGACAGTTCGTTTGGTCCCAGAAAAGCCAAAAATCATGCAATCCCTACCTCTGTAATATAGACACCTCTATTAAGCGGACACTTGGTTCTGTCCCTTTAGTGTCCGTATTAAAGAGGTTTGACATTATTATAAGTAACGTGCATTTCCATTCCAAAATAACTCAAAGAAGTAGTTCACGGCAAAATTATTGCATAATTTAATAAGAAAAATAATATTATTACAAATGAAAGTCTTACTTAGTTACATGTAAGACTGCATAAAATCCCATTAGGAAATCTAAACTGCTGCCTTAATTCTTATTAGCAAGTACCAGTACTTGGTGGATCATCCCCAAAAATTATTGTTAAAGCCTACACAAACTGATGAGAGACCATTATTGGGGAGTATCAGGCTGATGCTACAACGACGATAGTGATGCAAACAAAACTAGCCATAGGCATTATACAAATGTATAAGCCAACATCTCTACACATGTATCTCACTTATTGTCGCCACTCTGCTGTAAGTGCATGGCTACAACTTGGACCTGGCTGTGGCATACAAAGTAGTCTACGAGAATTTGCCTACATCTGAGTTTGAATAGTAATGACAAACTGCACACTTTTAACAAGCGACTCACTTTCACAATGCATCTATCTTACACTCCCTGTTTTATAGTTTTAGGATAATCCATTGACTGTCCTGTAATTTCAGCAATTTTAATGAACACAGTCGAGTAAAGATTGACTTTTAGAATAAAACTCTTATCACCTCTCCAATTAGCCTCCCACGCAGGCGTTTTTAGGGGAGCTCGTATTTCTTCCCTTCCCACAAACGCCTGCTCAACTGAAAACAACATTGTTTTATTTGCGTGGTAAGTGACCAATCAACAATTGTGCAATAAAGTGTTGACAGGCTAAACACAAGTGAACGTGACCCTAGAGTTACCGTTTTCCTTCTTTTCTTTCCTTCACTAAGGTTATGCAGTGCACGGAGTATTCTGAATTTTGACTAAATCTTGTTTTTGCCGCTCTGAATCTAACATTTATTGCAGGTCAGGAAGCTTTCCCAGTGTTTAATGCAGATCGAGTAATAATAATGATAATAATCTGATAATTATTATCAGATTACCTTGCGGTCAAGGTCAACTTTCCAGAATTTGGAAAGTACAATGTGATTGGCTAAGCTTGGGAAAGGAATGTTGTCTTCAGTTGAACAGGCGTTTGTGGGGAGGGAAGAAATACGAGCTCACCTAAAAACGACTGCGTTGGAGGCTACTTTCCAATAAGATTGTGCAATTTAGTTAGAGTTGATCATCACAGGATCATCCTGACTAAAGGCACAATAATACATTAGGGACTTTAAGCAAATTGCTACAGTGACCTCTACTATGGTGATCGTGGTTACAGTCCTGAAGAGAGTATGTTACTGTTGCCCGTCAAATTTCAACTTTATGCAAGTGGCACCCAAAAGTCACTACAGGGCTTTTCGCTCATTTGGTTTCGTTGTTAGTAAAACGCAGGGAAGACTGAATTACTGCCCAATGAACTAGAAGTGTCAAATACCTTCTTGATTAAGAGAAAAAAAATGCTAGGTTTTAAACCAGTGAAAAATAGGGGAAAAGTAGAATTTTATACTCATGTAGAAGCGACTATGCCATCACATTTTGTGCTTCGGCTAAAGCTCATTATTTTTCTGGACATCACGCACACGGCGTCATTTTGGACTTTTTACTCCCAGTTGCCATAGTAGCGATCACTGTAGCAATTTGTTACTTTGGTATTATTGGCATCCTGCCCATGAAGGGCAGTTAGTTGGTACTGGTCTGTCTGACAAGTATTTATCAACCTCTCTGGTTATTTTCCCGGCTGTTCTTTCTTTGCCTCTTTGACATGCAAGCCTCACAAAAGGCGTCAAGAACAGCATTGATGTTTCTTAGCTTTGACCTCTCTGAGCATAGTGGCCTGATGTACCTGGGTTGTGGATCATTGGCCCTCTCTTCATTGTCTTCACTCTCCTCCAAAGACATAAATTGGATAGCATTGTGTAGGTCTAATAAAGCCTTTATTTTGGCTTTGTCATCTGGAGAAAGTTGTGCCTTGTCCAACACGTCTGTGTGATTCGTCAATTTCTGAACACCAAAAAAACTTATTTAGTCACAGTGGCATGACTACTATGATAAACATTTAATTAACATTTACGTTCTTCAGCAACAGTTTAGTCTGGCAAAATAGTCACCCTAACTATTTTGAATCTTTAGATTTGGTTCTTGCTCTTTACTCTGAGCAATTTACACTACAATCAAACCTTGCATATAAATGGAAAGGACACTGTTAATATTAAAAATGTCAAAGGGGGTAGGGTGTGGCCCTAGTGCATTCTATAACAATCATTAATTATGTATGCATAATACAAACGTGCAAAACATGTGTTGTGTTCTTAAAAAAATGAAAGAGCCTTGTGCCCTTAACCTGAAAGATCCAGGTACCCAGGATGAATGTGTTTGAACAAACTAAGACTTCCTTGTCGCCCAAGAGCAACAGTAATGCAACAGGGGCCACCAGGCACTGCCAAAGCACAGCTCTGTTGCAGGACAGGCTAAATAAATCACTAAGTGGATGACTTAAACTACACAGTAAAAATATTTGCACTGCAAGCATTAACAAAATAATGTACATGTATTTTACCTACCTTTTTAGCTCTCAAATTGGAATCTTGTCTGAACTCTGTGTTCTTCAAGTTTTCCATTTTACTGCCTTACCACATCTGCACGGGTACTTCTCTGACTCCAGTACTGAAAAATGGCCCCTAGCAAAAGGAAAGCATGTTAAATGCTCAGGTCTGTAGAAAAGGAATTAAGAGTGCTTCTTGGTGTTGCTAAACGTATTGTGGTTTGCTCCTGTTTTTGGTGTGGGTATTATTTAGTGGCTTTTCCATCTTTTGTATTTATGTCATTAGGGGATTGCACTTGTCAGCAACACCAAGAAACTATAGTGGAACCCCGTTAATACGGTCATCAATGGGCCAAAAAAGTTTTGCCGTATTAATGGGGTGACGGTATTAATGAGGGTTTGTTTACAAGAAAATGTATGGTGGTTTTTGCCAGGCGGCCAAAAAAAAGTGGCTGTAATAACAAGGTGACTGTATTACCGAGGTGGCTGTAAGGCGGGGTTTCAGTGTAAGAAATTCAAGAAACTTAGAAAAGTGTACAACTTACCTTTTATCTCTGTTTTGGGCCATTTCTTTTACCCAAAATTTCCCCTCACTTCATTAACCAAAATACCCTCAATGTTTTTGTTCTCCACATCAGTATACCTCAAAGAAATAAAGACAAAAAAAAATGTCAAATATTTATATCAAAATAATAATACATGTATTACATGTATCGTAACAGCCTGGTTCTAAAAAAACTAGAGAGCTTAAAATCAGGCAGTTTTCTGGTAGTGCATTACAATGAAAAATATTTAAAAAATGACGGTTGCTTTTATCATCGAATAAAGCCGTTATCCAAGTGGTTGAGGCACAAAACAAAATTAAAGTGTAACAATATAAAAAAAATGTGTAATCATCAAGTTGATCTCCTTGTGGCATTTGTAAAAATTGAAAGTATCATTAACACAAGCACCATTTTGTCCACTCAAAGAAGGATAAATAGAATAATTCCAACTTCCCACTTAAAGATGGGCACCTTACTTGAGTCAGTGAAGGTTGCTTTGTCATCGAATAAAGCTTTTATCCTTGTTTTCAAAGCTTAACAACAAATTGAAGTGTAAAGAAATAATTATTATATTCCTGACTAGTATTCTTGTTTATCTCCTGGTGACTGTTGCAACATTTGAAATATCATTGACACAAGCACTACTTTGTCCACTCAAAGATGGATAAACAGAATTGCAACTTCCCACTCAAAGATGGGCGTCTTACTTGTGTCAATGAAGGTTGCTTTGTCATCGAATAAAGCTGTTATCCTTGTGTTCGAAGCTTAACAACAAATTGAAGTGTAAGGAAATTATATTCCTGAATAATATTCTTGTTTATCTCCTGGTGACTGTTGCAACATTTGAAACATCATTGACACAAGCACTACTTTGTCCACTCAAAGATGGATAAATAGAATTGCAACTTCCCACTCAAAGATGGGCGTCTTACTTGTGTCAATGAAGGTTGCTTTGTCACCGAATAAAGCTGTTATCCTTGTGTTCGAAGCTTAACAACAAATTGAAGTGTAAGGAAATTACATTCCTGAATAATATTCTTGTTTATCTCCTGGTGACTGTTGCAACATTTGAAACATCATTGACACAAGCACTACTTTGTCCACTCAAAGATGGATAAATAGAATTGCAACTTCCCACTCAAAGATGGGCGTCTTACTTGTGTCAATGAAGGTTGCTTTGTCACCGAATAAAGCTGTTATCCTTGTGTTCGAAGCTTAACGACAAATTGAAGTGTAAGGAAATTATATTTCTGAAAAATCTTCTTGTTGCAACATTTGAAATATCATTGACACAAGCACTACTTTGTCCACTCAAAGATGGATAAATAGAATTGCAACTTCCCACTCAAAGATGGGCATCTTACTTCTGTCAATGAAGGTTGCTTTGTCATCGAATAAAGCTGTTATCCTTGTGTTCGAAGCTTAACAACAAATTGAAGTGTAAGGAAATTATATTCCTGAATAATATTCTTGTTTATCTCCTGGTGACTGTTGCAACATTTGAAACATCACTGACACAAGCACTACTTTGTCCACTCAAAGATGGATAAATAGAATTGCAACTTCCCACTCAAAGATGGGCGTCTTACTTGTGTCAATGAAGGTTGCTTTGTCATCGAATAAAGCTGTTATCCTTGTGTTCGAAGCTTAACGACAAATTGAAGTGTAAGGAAATTATATTTCTGAAAAATCTTCTTGTTGCAACATTTGAAATATCATTGACACAAGCACTACTTTGTCCACTCAAAGATGGATAAATAGAATTGCAACTTCCCACTCAAAGATGGGCGTCTTACTTGTGTCAATGAAGGTTGCTTTGTCATCGAATAAAGCTGTTATCCTTGTGTTCGAAGCTTAACAACAAATTGAAGTGTAAGGAAATTATATTCCTGAATAATATTCTTGTCTATCTCCTGGTGACTGTTGCAACATTTGAAATATCATTGACACAAGCACTACTTTGTCCACTCAAAGATGGATAAACAGAATTGCAACTTCCCACTCAAAGATGGGCGTCTTACTTGTGTCAATGAAGGTTGCTTTGTCATTGAATAAAGCTGTTATCCTTGTGTTCGAAGCTTAACAACAAATTGAAGTGTAAGGAAATTATATTCCTGAATAATATTCTTGTTTATCTCCTGGTGACTGTTGCAACATTTGAAACATCATTGACACAAGCACTACTTTGTCCACTCAAAGATGGATAAATAGAATTGCAACTTCCCACTCAAAGATGGGCGTCTTACTTGTGTCAATGAAGGTTGCTTTGTCACCGAATAAAGCTGTTATCCTTGTGTTCGAAGCTTAACGACAAATTGAAGTGTAAGGAAATTATATTTCTGAAAAATCTTCTTGTTGCAACATTTGAAATATCATTGACACAAGCACTACTTTGTCCACTCAAAGATGGATAAATAGAATTGCAACTTCCCACTCAAAGATGGGCGTCTTACTTGTGTCAATGAAGGTTGCTTTGTCATGGAATAAAGCTATTATCCTTGTGTTCGAAGCTTAACAACAAATTGAAGTGTCAGGAAATTATATTCCTGAATAATATTCTTGTCTATCTCCTGGTGACTGTTGCAACATTTGAAATATCATTGACACAAGCACTACTTTGTCCACTCAAAGATGGATAAACAGAATTGCAACTTCCCACTCAAAGATGGGCGTCTTACTTATGTCAATGACGGTTGTTTTGTCATCGAATAAAGCTGTTATCCTTGTGTTCGAAGCTTAACAACAAATTGAAGTGTAAGGAAATTATATTTCTGAAAAATCTTCTTGTGTATCTCCTGGTGACTGTTGCAACATTTGAAATATCATTGACACAAGCTCTACTTTGTCCACTCAAAGATGGATAAATAGAATTGCAACTTCCCACTCAAAGATGGGCGTCTTACTTGTGTCAATGAAGGTTGCTTTGTCATCGAATAAAGCTGTTATCCTTGTGTTCGAAGCTTAACAACAAATTGAAGTGTAAGGAAATTATATTCCTGAATAATATTCTTGTTTATCTCCTGGTGACTGTTGTAACATTTGAAACATCATTGACACAAGCACTACTTTGTCCACTCAAAGATGGATAAATAGAATTGCAACTTCCCACTCAAAGATGGGTGTCTTACTTGTGTCAATGAAGGTTGCTTTGTCACCGAATAAAGCTGTTATCCTTGTGTTCGAAGCTTAACGGCAAATTGAAGTGTAAGGAAATTATATTTCTGAAAAATCTTCTTGTTGCAACATTTGAAATATCATTGACACAAGCACTACTTTGTCCACTCAAAGATGGATAAATAGAATTGCAACTTCCCACTCAAAGATGGGCGTCTTACTTGTGTCAATGAAGGTTGCTTTGTCATCAAATAAAGCTGTTATCCTTGTGTTCGACACTTAACGACAAATTGAAGTGTAAGGAAATGATATCCCTCTACAATCTTGTGACTTTTAGAACCTTTCTGCACCATCATATTAAACTTGTTATTGTGCATGTACACAAAGAGAAAAGGTTCCTTTTAACACTACAAGTCTCGTAACAAGCACTACATTTATTTCAATTTTGAACAATTCCCATTGGTAGTAAGGAAATGCACGTTGTCTGCAAAAAATTAATATGAACATTAAATATTATTTTTGTACAGGTTTATCCTTGTGATAAACATCTACAGTCTCAGAAATTGGAGTGGAAATGTTTTGCACATTTCAGTGTCAAGGAATTTTTATATAATATTTTTCTGTCATTGCTATTGGATTCCGTACTCCGTTCCGTGATTCCGTTTCCTCATTCCAGATTAAGTATTTTACGGCTGCCATCTTCGCCATTAAAATGTGCATGCAGCAACTATGTCTTTATTGTAAAAGAAATCAGACAAAGACGTGCTTTACAGGCATATGCTATCAAAGAAACTACAGGCAACATACAAAGGTCAGATCTGTACGAAGCAACTCGCTGTCGCATGAAGCTCACATGTGAAACGATTTGTATGATCGACATCGATGAAATGCTCCCAAAGCTATTACATAGACTTAAATATGCCTCTATATATTTAAACAAGATTCAGAATGTACTTACGAAACAACAAGGATCCACAGTTTAAAATAAGCGTTCTTTCTTCTCAATGATGGTTGAAACACTCAGTGTGCATTCGAGTCGCCAAGAGTGAACACTGAACTCCTTCATCACCGCTTCCATGGGATTTGGCGTTTCGTTTAAATAGTTTTTCGAAGTATTATTTCTCCCTGCAGTCTATCTCCGCAATCTATCACACTCTCCTCGCTCATCTTGACAAAAAAACGGTCCTGCATGAACAAACCACCAAAATGGAAGGCGAACCGACAGCGAAGAATGTTCAAAAGGGCGCGCGATTCAAAATTGAACGTGAAAACGAGGCACGCATGCTCGTAAGACTCGCGCCCTCCAGAGCGAGGCAAAATGCGTGCAAGCGTTATAATTTATTTGGCTGTTTCTAAATTGTTTCAAATTACGCGTCAATGTTTGGAGCTCAGCCTTGGGTATATGCTTGAAATATTCTTAAAATTTCCCAAATAAAAATAGTGTATCCCTGTGAATGACACTACCATGACCACGACTTACTTTTCCATCCCGGCTTTTGCAAATGGTTCGTAAGTAAAACGCTTGATCGCGAGCCGAATCTTGTCGAAGTAAACGGCGATTGCCATTTAGACCTATGATCGGCTACACAAAGAGAAATTAAAATTCCGCATCTTACTTAAGTTAAATCATTTATTTGTTCACAATGCTAAGAAATATACACTCCGAGAACGTCTAAACTAGCAGGATACTTAAACCTTTTGTATTTATTTACATTCCGTCTTTTGCCACTGGCCTGTTTTGGTCAGATGGACAGCCTTGAGTACCGTCTAAGAAGTCACATCAGAACATCATTAAGAACGTTTTACATATTAAAAATAGTGCTGTTGCCGAGAAATCCTTGGCAGCACATCGCCTACTTAAAATTAAATCAACCGAAGTTAAAAGCTACCAAATTTCCGCAGAAAATTGTCTGCGGAAACGCGACTGATACGGCCTTGTACATTTCAGCCAACGGAAACGCTGCGGAAACGCGAAACGCGACCTCATTTTGCTCTTACGTGTTTCCGCCCTCCGGAAATGTGACGGAAACTTGAACCATCAGATTTCCGCAAGATTTCCGAAATACGGAAACGCCTTATTTCACCCTGTGCAAGCCCTTGCGCAGTCGCTTCTTCCAGAAATCTTTTTGCAGGTTCATAGTTGCTCCATAAGACGACCACTTTGATGTTTTCAGCATCTTTGAGTTTTCTCACGATTGATGTTATTTTTCCTTTGTATCCCGAAGGCGTGATGTACTCCGAAAACGCGATGCAGAATGTCTTTCGGTCGTAAGCTTCTCGTTCCAACGCACGGAGACCGTATCGACCGTAGGAATGGTCAACGGCTACGGTTGCAATATACTTCCATTGATAATACTCTATTATGTCAACCATGGCTTTAGCTTGTTGGCCATCGGGTGGAATGGTGCGAAAAAAGGAGTTGAAATACGGTGAGCTCAACTCCTCGCTGGTAGCGGAAGGACTTATAGTTGGAATGGCAGCCACATTCAGTAAACTTGAGACGAGAGTGCTGCTACTCGAATCGCTAGTGCCAATAACCGCAGAAATCGGAGCCGTTAGATTATCCATATTTATTGTAAGCTTTGACTTACAGTTATCACTTTGTCCTTCCAGTAGTTCGTTCAGATAATTACTTTTCACAAAGTCATTGGCTTTTTTCATGGCGAGAACAGGTGTGCGGCAGTAGTCTCGAATGTCGAAGCCCAGTGTCACATTTGGTAGAAGCTCAGGATCCTTGTTAATACGCTCGATTGCAAAAGTTATAGCCTCGGTGTATCCAAGGCCGAAAGCGTAAAACTCACCGCATTTATCCTGGGCGGTCCTGACGTGAAGAGGAAGCAAGACTCCTAGAGTAACGTTGCCCGACTGGTAGAATCGTTTTGGATCGATAGAGGAAGCTGGCGAAGAGTGCATCAATAACCATAACAATAGGAAATGAAACTGAGACATTTTTTCCGCTTTAAGTCAGTTTACTTTTATGTGCATCAGATTAAGCTAGAAAAGAAAAGAAAACGAAAATATTCATTAATATATATGCCCTTAATAAGTTATTTTTTGTTCCTCAGTTGGCGTCATTAAAAGGATCATACCTTATAATAATAGGGTTCAGTTAAAGGGTCAATCTCATGAACTGCCCATGTGCTGGCCGAAGCTCAAAACTTGAAAAATTCTGCAGAATATGTCAAGATTGACCCGGCTAAAGAAAGATGGCTGCTGCAAGTGGCAGAGGCGGCCATGGCGGTAAACGAATGATCTCGGGTCACAAGAAAAACGATTTCTGACCTGAAACCGTGCAAAAGAGAGTGGTTTAAAACCTTTAACGTCCTTTCCTCGAAAATAATATATTTCAGTCGTGGCTTAGAGTGAAATTCGGGGCAGGGTGTGAATGTTCTAGTGACAGCGATTTGGCGGCACGTTCGTTATCTCTTGAATATAGGAGAAGGTAAGTCTTGCTTTTCTTTGCCTGATGATTTAACCGTTAAAGATTATTTTTGTCGATGAGTCCTATTTATGATCATATTTTATGACACTTGCACGAAGACAGGCAAAAGACGAAATTGAAGCCAAGGTGCAACGATGCTTATTATGTTTCGGTGATATGTTTCGTGTTGGTTAGCATTTGTTTTTTTTTCCGTTTCAATGTTGATTATCGATAAACACTTATTTTCCTTAAAGGCCCGCAGACGCAGATTACAGGGGACCTGTGAAATAAGAGGTTTAGAACGGTGCAGGCCTTCTGCCACAGACCTCAACTTAGCCTGCGAACGCCAGACGTTTCTCCTCGTTCATCGCCTCGGAGGGACGTTTCGCGAGGAGGAACGTCTGCGACTCAGCGACAGAAATTCCATACCGATGACGTGAATCAATGTTTACATAATAAATCCGGTAGTCATGGGGTTCCAAATGCAAATTTGTTTAATTTTACGTTTTTCCTGTTCGATTTTGGTAAAGTGTTGTGTTCATCTGCGAAAGAGCTCCGGAAAAACTCAAATGCTTCTTCTGGAGAAGACTATATTCCGCAAATATTGACTGTTTTGTTAGAGATTCAATGCCTTTACATTTGACCTTTGCGGCCTTTTGTCTTTTGTCTGTCATTCGTAAACAATAGCTAAAACCGTGAAACTACTCCGTCGACAAATTAGCGCTTCTGACCGGATTCCGGACAGATTTTGCGTCATCAGCATGGAATTTCTGTCGCTGAGTCGCAGACGTCCCTCCTCTTGAGGAGAAACATCTGCCGTTCGCAGGCTAACCTCAACTCCAGTTAAACCTTTTGGTCAGCCCTCGCCTTCTGTTGTCGATTCTCCGGCCATTATTGCTGATAGTTTGCTTAGCACTTCTGAGCTTTGGAGTAAGTCTCCCATTCGAGATCTCGGTGGCGTAGATGGCGAGAGCAATAAATCAGCAATGTAAGTTGCATTTACGTATACGTGCATTGGTTACAATATGAATTATAAAGGTATCTCACTTACAGTTTGTTGTCTTTATTTACATATCACGGGCAACAATCCCATCTGATTTCTTTGTTTTTTTTTTCGGTTATAGTTTGAACTCGTCTTTGTTTTCTGACGATAAGAATATGTGTTCTGATTCAGAAGGGTCTACCTCTGAATACTCGACAGTATATATGTTGTAGTTATATGTTTATCTCAGATAATTTTGTTTTTCTTTAGTTTTTGAATATCGTAATGTCTGCTAATGAGGTTTAAACAAAAGAAAAATAAAAATTACCTGAGATAACAAATTAACAACAACATATATATATGTACATATATTCCATCGGATATTGGATAAACATAACAGTCTATCTATTATTGCACTTGGAGAGTTTTCATTACCGCATGTCAGGTTTTTACAAGCAATCTCTTCCTGCTAACAAACATTTTGTTCCCAGGGTGATCTCTAAACCGAGCATGAAAGGTCCATTGGTGGAGTACATTGCCTTTGAATAGTATTATGTTATACTACAGTTGACCATGATGTTTTGGTGCCTTTTTTCAGTAATCAAGCACTTTATAATTTTGCCATCCTTGAATAAAGACAGATGTATTGACACTGACAGTGACACTGATTTTTATGTACAAAATTTCAGTTGCCCACAGGCTGGGTAAGAAAAATTAGCTTCTGCCACTATCAGGGTGTTTCCTAAAGCGTTCAACGATAATATGAAGCGCATACATGCACTGGTGAAACGCCAATGCATAAAAGTGTTAACCCCCTCCCCCCCCCTGCCTTTCTTCATATGCCTGGGTCAAGAGATCCACTTCTTATGGAAAAACTAGGTTCTGCTACGTTCTGCTAACAAAATACAAAGTAGTGAGGTTACATGTGATTTGCTGGGAAAAATAAACAAATTTATTTTTCCCTCTTTTTTTTATACTTTCTAACTGCTGTTTATGTCAACAGGCACACAGGAAGTATTGAATGTGCTAATAGCCTATCCCTGCTGTATGCATCAAAGAAGACATCTTTCAGGTAATTACTTGTTGACTGTACTGGTGATGAGGATGTTAATGATCATCATTATCATCGGCTGATTCTCTACTGAACTGCAGTGTTCTATTGTGGCCTTTATTTTCTGTTCAGTAGTAATATTTCCTCACCCTCAAACTTGAATATTTTACAGTTTCAGGGCCTACAGAGTAAGAAGATGCCTTGAAGTGATTGACTAGAACTACCACCTTCACCTCCCCCCCCTGCCACAACGCCCCCCCCAAAAAACAGGAGAACAGATGTTCAGCTGAAAGTACTACCAGCGGACAAAGCAATGGGACATAAAGATCATAAAAGCAGACAAGGGATATGAATATATTCCCCTCCTCATTGCTAACATATTACATGCCAGATTACATGATGTGGATATCGTGACAAGAAATATCTCTCTAAATGCAAGTGATCCCCGTCACTGTTGGCCCCAATCCATTGCGGTCATACCACCACCTCCCACTGCAGAATTGCGTAAGTGGCAGAGTCGGTTCAGTTTACCTGCACCGTCAAAAAGCTGTGAACCAGAAAAAGGTGATCTTTAGAAAAATCCATCACCCATGGAAGACTGAGTTGTCATATTTTGAGATGCATAGAACAGAGTCCAGTCAGAGTGTTATCAGACTAAGATTTATCACTTTCTTTAATTTTTATACATTTGCATTAATTGATAATTTACAGTAAAATCTTATGAGAATCAAGACATCAAGAAGTAAGAAATACCGATATTCTTCGAAGAGAAATTTTTGTGCAGCATAAGGAATTGTAAATAATGAAACACGTGTCTTGTAATGACATATTAATATTAATTGCCCCCTCAGGGATTTCGCCCAGAAGGCGAAATCCCAAGGAGGCACTCTAGTAACTCGCGCGTATATTAAGGAAAGTACTTACAGATGAATTATACAGTCAGCATGCCAGAAAAAATCTCGATTTGCTTGAACAGGGGCCGCGAGGAATCGGTAGGTAATGATGACGTTTGTATTGTTTCCGCCCGCAAGTACGAAATGGTTAGGATGAAGTAAAGACAGAAAATCCCGAAGGGAGCGCCGCAGGTAGATTTTGTGACATTTTTGTGCAGTCATACTTCGATACTCGTTTGCGTTATGTGTTATCAGTGACATTCTGTGGAGCAGTTGTTTTGAAAGTTATGGACCAAAAAGACACTCGTTAAGCGCAGATGAAGTTATAAGGTGCGCATAACTGTGTATATATAAACTCTTGGAGAGTTTGCCAGACACGAGTTCACAAATCTCTGATTGGAAACCTTGCCAGACACTCTTTCTCCCTCTTTGACCGGTATAAGACTCAGCCCCAAACAAGCAAGACGAGTGAACAACGGCTAGCTTATTACTAGCAGAACGATGGACGATTACAGAAATTTGCCAACAATCAAATTCTGTGCTGACTTATTCCCTGCTCACAGATGTCCTTCCGCTATAAAGTTTAAAATAAGACTAGAATGCGCGAGCGTGAATTGATCAAACGTCTTTTTAATTTCTAACGCTTACTTTCCGGCAATTAAAATGAACTGAATGTAAAAAGTGAAAGAGAAATAGCGAAAAATTCAACTTCTAATTAAATCTTTTCTTATGGTTTAGAATAAACTATTCTCGAAGCTGAGAATGTTTTGATCAAAGCTGTGTAAATCGAACTGACACTGTGCATGGAAACTTGCGTTTCCTGTATTTATCTCACCTATTGTACGGAATATGTGTAAAATCTTCATTATGAATCGGTATGTTTCAAAGAGCTACACAACGAGCAAGAATACTATTGACCGACAATGTATTGTTGGTTTTCACATGCCATCACTAAAATTCAAACTACAAAACTATCCATCCTACTGAGATTTTACTTTCATGGTGTATTAGAGCAGCTGAAAACTAATTTTCAAACAAATTTTCGCTTCAAAAGGTTTCTTGGTTTTGTAACAGAGTACGCTTGAATTTCTAAGCTTTTGCGTGACGCAGCATTTACATGACGGCCGAGAAAGCTGTCATTTAGGTTAAAAAAGTGACTTTTTTCGAGGCATTTTGCCATCTAAACACTTCAAGTATTAGAAAAAGTATTACTTTAATGTTTACGAGTTCCTCTAGGAGTAAATTCACGCTTTTGTAGCAAAAGTCGGTAACAGATGTTTCTGCTGGTTTCCGTCCGCCATGTTGGAGCTCATCCGGATGAGCTCCGGCATGGCGCCTCCATACAAAGCTCTATAAATTTGGGTAAAACATTTCCTCGGATATCTCGTAGACGAATTATTCCTTCGACCCAAATCTTGGCGAGGGTCTTTGTATATTTACCTCCTTTCATTCCCCAGATTCTGGACTTTATCTATCGAATGGTTTTGACTTTTATTTTGATCTATTTTGAAGGGCGTGACACTGAAAACCAGCAATAGAGCAGGGGCAGCTGTAGTGTCAACTATTACTAGTATTATAGTAAGATGTCAATTTCAACCCCAAGACATTAGCAACTTTTAGACAAATAGTAAGTCATCTGGTGTTGGCAAAATATGCTATGACCTACAGTTTGAACTGGAATGCATGCGTATTAAATAGCAAATAAATTATTGTTTTCCATGAATTAATTAACTGATCAGTCCACCCCAAACTCCCCTATATTTTGCAAGCCCAGCATCATTGAGGAATAAACAACATATAGGGAACTCAAACATTACTATTTACACTTTTATTGCGGAAACCACTAGTTCTTTTGGAAGTTATGGAAAAATGCTCCCTTGTTATTGATTCACAGCATGTCAAATATCTGAGAAAATGTACCATGTTCGGGAGTGATGTAAAACAAAACAAAGGAAATAACATGACTTTTGAGTTGTACTTTTAGCCCTGGAAGTGATGAGCATCAAATTTCCCCTCTTACATACGTGCATTGTAAAGCAAATACTGGTAGGCCTTTTTACAGTTGCAGCTGGAAATGAGGCTAGAGTTGACTCTGTTTTAACACAACCCTTCCTGCTTTATTATGTAAATCACGGTATTTTTTTTGTGCAAACAATTATTATTATGCGTACTTTCCATAAGAAAAGTAGGGACGTTTGTATGAACACAAGCTCACCTCCATCATCGCATTCAATAAAAAGCTAGGGTACCAAATCCACTACTTAATACAATATTACAGTAGGGAATACAATTCAGGGGAATAGCAATACTTAAGTCTGGAATCTGTTAGCATTGCCACTGGTCAGGATGGTAAAAAAAAAAAAAAACAGGTAGATCGAAACATGCTACTTTAGATAATTATAAAGCTGAATGAATATGATCTTCTCAATTATTTTACTAACAATTGGCAGAACCGATATAGGCCTATAATTATTAGGATCTGACTTACTTTCGCAACTTTCCAGTCATCAGGAAATATACAGCTCCTGAGAGATAATTAATGATAAATGTTAAAGAAGCTGTGATAACTGGTGCAGCTTCTTTCAGTTAGAGCTTGCATGATATTCTATCAAGGCCATTACCCTTGTTCAAATTTAATGACTGAATGATATTATACACATCTTTACTATTGATTTCATTAATGGCAAATATATGTTGAGTAGGGGTGATATACTCTCTAAAGCTGGTATCCATAGCAGGAAAGTCATTGGCTAGACGTGGCCCTACTTGTGTAAAATGATGATTTAAAACATTACTGATTTCACTTGAGGAAGAGTGAGTTACGTCCTCGATTTTAATGTTATTTATCTCTGCGTGATGGAGATTTTTTCCCACGATCATGTTCACCCCCCTTCCAAGATTCCCTAGTATTACCTAGAGTTTCTCTCAAGTAATTGTTATAACTAGGGGTATCTTCTGGCAAGTGCCAACGAGGCGAATTCGTTTATCTTTTGTGGAATGTGCCTGATAAATGGTTACATGATTTTAGAGGTTTAAAATGGATTCCGCTATAAAAAAGGATGGCACCCAACTTCGAAACAACAACTGTTTAATTGGCACATCCTAGGTTTTCACTTTTATTAAACCATAGCAACATGGCTTGAAGCTTTGTTGGTAAATTGGAACAAGCTAGCACTTATGTTGTATGGAAAATTCCTTTGTATCAAATCTATAAACGTTAAAAAGTAAAGTATAGTTCAACTGAGGCCTTTGACTGCTGAAATTAAAAATAAAAATTAAATTCCGAGCTGTCGCCGATCTGACAGTATCATCAGGGATAAATAAGAAAAATATTTCGCATGGTAATATACATATGAAAAAATTGGTGCAAAGCAAAATGTGTGAAAAGCGCAAGAATGGGGCGGAATGTATCAGAGGTATAAAAATAAGAACTTGAATGAAATACAAAGATCTAATAAGCGAGTGTCACAGGACAGAGTCTCTCGAAAGGCATAATGAAAATGTCCGTATATTCGTTGCATTCCTCACGGAAGTTTAGGGCTGTCTCAATGTAAATCGAGCTACAAAAAGAACATGCTGGTTGACAAAAATCTCTCAAAAGGCATAAATAAATTCTTAAATCCAAAAGGTCCGCAAATGCGTTGCATTCCTCACAGGAGGTGAGGACTGGCTCAATTCCTTGATCAGCTACCGCTTAAAACTCGATTTACAAAGGAAAAGCGAACACTGGAAACCCTGTTTGTGTGTCGAGAAGCAAACTATCGAGCGGCGAACAAACTGGTTCTGACAAAAATTTGACCGTAAAAGCCTATTCCATGATCAGGAGCTGCTTTAAACGCAATTTATAAAGCAAACCAGAGTACTAATGGCCCTTTAAACTCTAGAAATCGTATTATAGTTTGCCTACCTGCTAGGTCCTCTTGAACAAACAACGAAGAGCTGCACACTGGATCACCCAATTTCGGACCACGAGTTGTAAATACTAGACCATGACGTCACTACCCAAATATGGGATCTCAATTACACCCAAATATGGTCAAAAATACAAATTTAAGAGGGTTACGAAGAATTTGAGAGTTTTCGCCCACATTGCCCGGCAATATGGTTTCATGAGGTTTCAGTTTTCCCTTTGAAACACATCTGAAATGAATAGACTCTCTGGCCATCGAGCTCAAAGTCTTCTGTTATATACCGTAACTGAAAATGGAGCTTTACATGCAAAACTTTAACAGCCTCCTTTGTGGGGTGGGGTGGGGGGAATCTTAAAGGTTACGGACCATTTAAGTTTGAAATTGATCGCCGTATTATAGCATGCGTCATGACTATCTACGATCCACACGCGCACAATTTTCAGTTACGAGTCGTACGAATGACGTGGGTCTAAGTTACACGACACGGTCTGCCGTGAAGTCTTGACGTATGTATGGCAAGCAAAATGTAGCAATATTCAATTCGTTTAATTTTATATCTAGTTTTGTATTTTGTATTCAACTATGCGTTCAATATTCAACTTGTATTCAACATTCAACGCGTTATTCAATATTCAACTTCCATCAACATTCAGCTATTCATTTTAGGGACGGACCATTAGAAACGTTATGGGGGGAGTGGGGAACTTTTGAGCGGCAGGAATTTTTTTTCGTTATCAAATTACTTGTATAAATTTTTTTAGGCCGTAGCGTGAACATTTTTCAGGCTTAATTGGCCTGCATGAATTTTCTTTCATTTAATTTTCCCTTGCGCGAATATTTTTTTTGTACTTCGTCCGCCTCCCCCCCGATAAGTTTTCTAATGGTCTGTCCCTTATATTCAATTCTTCATTCGCCCATCAATTATCTATTCAACAATTTAAACCATTCATTCAACATTCAACTTTATTTTTTAAAACATTCAACTATTCATTAGACTACTTGCAGTCCACCTTTTCTCTTAAAATCCGTCTAGTTCTTGATCTCATCCCGCGCGATTGCAACGATGTTATTATATAGGGATCGAGACGAGACGAGAAAAGACGGACTGCTGACTCTTTTGTAGTAAACAAACCCTTCGTCAGCCCAGAAACGGAGTAACCGATTGGTCAATTGCACAACTGTTGACTGATCTGTGGTGAGATTGTAAGCAATAAAAATAGTCACGCGTCACAAACAACTGCAAACAATAGCGAACCAAGCAGTAATCTCAGTTTAACAATAAAACTTAGAAGGATATCTTACAGAAGGAAACTGCTGTAAATTTCCTCAAGGGAAACGAATTCAAGGCAATCTTACCGGATTTAAAGAAAGTGTAATATTTTCAGATGTTTATGTTCTATTTATAAATCGTTTCAAGCAGTTCGGGTTTAATTGATTAATTAAGTTACCTTGACAACTTCGTTGTCCCCAGACAGAACAAAAAAAGAGTCAGCAGTCTTATTTTTTTTTCTTCTCGGGCTTACGCCATTGTCTCTCACGGCAAGCGGCGAACGTGCTTAGGGTTTGCGTGCAGTAATTGTGCAAAGAAATGTAAAGAGACTGCTCTCAGTATGGCAAGCCAAATGTAGCAATATTCAATTCGTTTAATTTTATATCTAGTTTTGTATTTTGTATTCAACTATGCGTTCAATATTCAACTTGTATTCAACATTCAACGCGTTATTCAATATTCAACTTCGATCAACATTCATCTATTCATTTTATATTTAATTCTTCATTCACCCAATTAATCAATTATCTATTCAACAATTTAAACCATTCATTCAACATTCAACTTTAATTTTTAAAACATTCAACTATTCATTAGACTGCTTGCAGTCCACCTTTTCTCTTAAAATCCGTCTAGTTCTTGATCTCATCCCGCGCGATTGCAAACCACGATGTTATTATATAGGGATCGAGACGAGACGAGACGAGACGAGAAAAGACGGACTGCTGACTCTTTTGTAGTAAACAAACCCTCCGTCAGCCCAGAAACGGAGTAACCGATTGGAACCGAACGAACAGAATGCCGTCCATGCTTCAAATTTAATTTTCAATAAAACTGTGACAAATCTGTTTGACTTCAATTTAGTTGGAAATCTTACAAAAGTGTTTAAATTTAAAGAAAACGCTAGTAAGGAATACTTTCTCGTAAAATGCGCTCAATTTAAATCTTATTTCCCCCCTTACTACTTCCTCTACGATTCATAACAGTTTTTTAGAACAGGGAGCCCAAGTCGTCTGAAAATGTTTAAGAAATTATAGGTTGACTTTTCATATGTTAAGTAACAACTTCAATATAAACCTTCCATCGCGCACAAATATCTGCATCAAAGAACTGTAATTTTGTCAGTCAACTTAGTTGACCCAACTCGACTTGGTGTTGGCTCTTATCCATCCGTAAATTAAGCTGCAGGCCATTGTAATCAATACTTTCGAGCAGTCATTTTAACTTTGTGTTTGCATTTTAGGCGAATCTGTAGACTTGTTAGACTGCTTCAGTAGAATGACGCTGGAAGTTATACTCTCCACCGCGTTTGGTGTCGAAACTGACATTCAAAACGACAAAGAAAGCCTGTTATTTAGAGAGGTGAAGGAGGGTTTTCGCACTCCTTGGATAATGGACTTTTTAAGACGGTTTCCTTTTGGAATATATCTTTTAAGAATTCTGGCGCAAATCATGCGCACTCCAAGGTATTTTGAAAAGGTCGCCTCAGAGATCTTACAGCAAAGGAGAAAAAGTGGGCCAACAGGAAGACAAGATTTGATGCATTTGATGCTGACAGCGAACGAGGATTCAACTGAAAAGGGATTATCCAAACTCACCGATGAAGAAATAATTGGCCAGTGTCAGATCTTTCTTTTCGCAGGTTACGAAACTTCGAGCAATACTTTGGCCTATATCACCTACCAGCTGGCCCTGAACCAGAATGTACAGGGCAAATTAAGAGAGGAGATCAAGGAAGCAGTCAAGAGAAACCCTGAAAGCTCTCTGTACGACCTTTCTCATGACATTGAATATCTGGATTGTGTTATGAATGAGTCACTGCGACTAAATCCACCTTTGGCTCAGGTTAACCGTGAATGTGTCAACGACTACAAGTTTAATGACATATTTATCCCCGCAGGACCACAAGTCATCATTCCTGTGTATTTTCTAGATCGTGACCCTGATGTCTGGCCCAACCCAGAAAAAAATTTGATCCCGAGAGATTTCGAAGCCCCGCCAAAGACTGTCGTCACCCATACCAGTTCTTGCCATTCGGTTTAGGGCCAAGGTCCTGCATTGGAATGAGATTCGCTCTAATGGAGATCAAGATTGCTTTGGTGAAATTCTTGATGAAGTACTAGTTTGTACGTTCACCCGAGACACAGGTACCTTTGGAAATTCTTGCTGGTGTCACTCTGATCCCGAAATATGGAGTCCACGTGAGAATAGAAAGGGTTTAGAACTCTTTGCTTCGGCTTTCCTATTCTTTTTTTGTGTTTGGTGTGGCTATCTCCGTTTGATTAGCTGCTACCATCAGTTTTCTAAACTTTGGGACCTGATGTTGGTAGCTGATATACTCGAACCAGGAAAAAACATTTTTTAAACTAGGATTAAAGAGTAACACCACCTGTTTGCGAGAAAAAAGAAGAAAGTGGTTTGTTGTCATAAAAATGTAAAACTAAGGTACTATTAAGTATAAATTTGAGACGAATAATCAGATGAATTAAGTTATGAACGTTTCAATAAATTTCGTTATGTATCTCTTAAGTAGACTAAGCTCGTGGTAACAATAATGCCAATTGTGCATCCTTATTGCTTTTACTGGAACTTTATAAATTACCATTGTAAATGGTAAATTGAAGTGACAACATCGTGTCAGACAAATATGTCTCTCAAGTACTATTTCAAAAGTTAACAAAAAATCAAAAATGAACTTCTACGTTAACGAGTTTTCAAAAAGCATAAGCAGAAGTTTGTCCATCCATGCTTCCTTTTGTATTTGCTGTGGTAGTTATCCCTTCTGTTGATGTTTTGATCGGTTATTTTTATGTTTCACTCAGTTTTGTGGTGGTTCTTACTGTTTGAAATGCCATTTAACACTGATATTCCACAATTTGGGCTCCAGAAATTTAAAAGAGTTTTTCCCGTGAGAAGTAGCATTTTCAACCTCGAAGTAACTGCGACTTGTTTGTGCCTCTCAGTATAAAGTGGAGTAACGCAATTTTTGTAGTTCTGATCTGTTAACTTTCTAGTTTGCGATGTGCTGTCGAACTAAGTGTAATTATTTTAAATCCCGTTTTTGGGATGAACATTAACTTGTTGGATTGTTGCTGAAAACGTAGCACAATTTGTGAACTGCCTAATTTCAGCTTTCATGAACTCGTTTGTGTTTTGCTCTGGACGAAGCAGGATGACAAATACTTTTGGCGCAAAAACGCACAAAAGAATTCCATATGCGGTGACGAGGGCAGTGGCACAGGCCACGATGGTTGTGTAAAAACCTTCCAGGGACGTGTCTACCGGGTAAAATGACACCCAGGAAATCAGGAGCACGTACATCGCCGACCCAATGTATCTCGTTTCGTTGAAGTTCTCTGGAAGTCGCCTGGCTTTAAACGCGTAACCAGCGCATACTAGAGACAGCAAAATGAAATAGCTAAACATGGTTGCCCTAAGGACACTTCCGATAGCTGATCTGAATGGCATACAGGTGTAAAACACATGTGTCTGTACTCGTATCTCCTGGTGCTCGTAAGGTGGATCAAGAGTTAGCCACAACACTGCCAGAATAACTTCAACTATGTTGAGTCCCAAGACCACAAGAAATTGACGTTTGCGATCCACGATGTATCGCTTGAACCAATTTGGAATGATGTTGGTCTGAAAAGCGCGGATCAAACGGTTTGTCTTCAAGAAGAGGATGGAAACAAAGGTCGTATTAATAAAGTACCTCAGAGGATAAATAATACAACATAACGTCTTTGTGGGCTGAGCAAGATAGAGCAAGGTGAGAACAAAACACAAAGCGATTGCGACAAGCAAAAGAAGGCTAAGTTCGCGATTGGATACCCTCACCAATGGTGTACTCTGGTTCTTCATAAAAACAAAGATGGCCATGCCTGTTGCAAGCAATCCAATAACCGTTAGGATCAAAAATACCACTGCAGTAGCATCTGACCACTTGATGTTGATAACTGGCAAAGGCAGGCATGCTGTACCGTCCCCGTTTGATTTATGTAGTTGTGGGCACTTTGTACAGTTGGGAGAACTATGCTGTTTACTGATGGAGCCCAAAGGACACTTAATGCATTCCCAGCAACAGGACACAGTGATCGTCTGCCTGGTTCCCGGAGGACAGCGGTGACTGCACGTGGATATGGGAGGCTCATTTTCTTCATTAGCCCATTGTATTCGTTTGTCGTTGATTGTGAGGTTGGTACGAGTTCCCCCTGTCCATGTCCCCACCTTAACATTTTCATAATTCTCCGCCTGTTTCTGAAAGTTCACGATATCGTACGACGAAAAAGTGGGATCACCACTTTCGGTGAACTGCACTTGCCCTGTTATGCCTTGAAAGCTCACTTTCCTGAGTTTCAGAAGCATGGCTTCGGGTGTGACTTTGGCATTTTGCTCAGGACAGTACCCACTGGCTAAAGGTCCGCCTCCGGGCTCTTTACACTTCAGTAAAGAGTCCAGCGCGTGTGCAAGGGCATAGACGGCGTCTGTCAGGTAAGGAATGAACGCGTTGTGTAGTTTGGCGAAGGCTCGATCGTCTATTTTGGCCGGGTTAAGGCAAGCACCTTCAGACATTGAGGAGCAGTTTAGATGGCTTGTCCAAAACTCCTTCCACCACGGATTGGCGCTTTCTCGGGTCTTATTTAGTGTGATTCCCTTAAGATAATCCTCAAACAGATGGTCTGTGAAGAGATAAGGCCTTATTCCTATTGCTCCTTTTAGTATGACAGCATTTGTTTCCAAAACGTCTGGATTCATGGCAGCTATTGCTTCACTAATAAGAAATGTTCGTCCTTCAAGCCCTTGCGCAGTCGCTTCTTCCAGAAATCTTTTTGCAGGTTCATAGTTGCTCCATAAGACGACCACTTTGATGTTTTCAGCATCTTTGAGTTTTCTCACGATTGATGTTATTTTTCCTTTGTATCCCGAAGGCGTGATGTACTCCGAAAACGCGATGCAGAATGTCTTTCGGTCGTAAGCTTCTCGTTCCAACGCACGGAGACCGTATCGACCGTAGGAATGGTCAACGGCTACGGTTGCAATATACTTCCATTGATAATACTCTATTATGTCAACCATGGCTTTAGCTTGTTGGCCATCGGGTGGAATGGTGCGAAAAAAGGAGTTGAAATACGGTGAGCTCAACTCTTCGCTGGTAGCGGAAGGACTTATAGTTGGAATGGCAGCCACATTCAGTAAACTTGAGACGAGAGTGCTGCTACTCGAATCGCTAGTGCCAATAACCGCAGAAATCGGAGCCGTTAGATTATCCATATTTATTGTAAGCTTTGACTTACAGTTATCACTTTGTCCTTCCAGTAGTTCGTTCAGATAATTACTTTTCACAAAGTCATTGGCTTTTTTCATGGCGAGAACAGGTGTGCGGCAGTAGTCTCGAATGTCGAAGCCCAGTGTCACATTTGGTAGGAGCTCAGGATCCTTGTTAATACGCTCGATTGCAAAAGTTATAGCCTCGGTGTATCCAAGGCCGAAAGCGTAAAACTCACCGCATTTATCCTGGGCGGTCCTGACGTGAAGAGGAAGCAAGACTCCTAGAGTAACGTTGCCCGACTGGTAGAATCGTTTTGGATCGATAGAGGAAGCTGGCGAAGAGTGCATCAATAACCATAACAATAGGAAATGAAACTGAGACATTTTTTCCGCTTTAAGTCAGTTTACTTTTATGTGCATCAGATTAAGCTAGAAAAGAAAAGAAAACGAAAATATTCATTAATATATATGCCCTTAATAAGTTATTTTTTGTTCCTCAGTTGGCGTCATTAAAAAGGATCATACCTTATAATAATAGGGTTCAGTTAAAGGGTCAATCTCATGAACTGCCCATGTGCTGGCCGAAGCTCAAAACTTGAAAAATTCTGCAGAATATGTCAAGATTGACCCGGCTAAAGAAAGATGGCTGCTGCAAGTGGCAGAGGCGGCCATGGCGGTAAACGAATGATCTCGGGTCACAAGAAAAAACGATTTCTGACCTGAAACCGTGCAAAAGAGAGTGGTTTAAAAACCTTTAACGTCCTTTCCTCGAAAATAATATATTTCAGTCGTGGCTTAGAGTGAAATTCGGGGCAGGGTGTGAATGTTCTAGTGACAGCGATTTGGCGGCACGTTCGTTATCTCTTGAATATAGGAGAAGGTAAGTCTTGCTTTTCTTTGCCTGATGATTTAACCGTTAAAGATTATTTTTGTCGATGAGTCCTATTTATGATCATATTTATGACACTTGCACGAAGACAGGCAAAAGACGAAATTGAAGCCAAGGTGCAACGATGCTTATTATGTTTCGGTGATATGTTTCGTGTTGGTTAGCATTTGTTTTTTTTTCCGTTTCAATGTTGATTATCGATAAACACTTATTTTCCTTAAAGGCCCGCAGACGCAGATTACAGGGGACCTGTGAAATAAGAGGTTTAGAACGGTGCAGGCCTTCTGCCACAGACCTCAACTTAGCCTGCGAACGCCAGACGTTTCTCCTCGTTCATCGCCTCGGAGGGACGTTTCGCGAGGAGGAACGTCTGCGACTCAGCGACAGAAATTCCATACCGATGACGTGAATCAATGTTTACATAATAAATCCGGTAGTCATGGGGTTCCAAATGCAAATTTGTTTAATTTTACGTTTTTCCTGTTCGATTTTGGTAAAGTGTTGTGTTCATCTGCGAAAGAGCTCCGGAAAAACTCAAATGCTTCTTCTGGAGAAGACTATATTCCGCAAATATTGACTGTTTTGTTAGAGATTCAATGCCTTTACATTTGACCTTTGCGGCCTTTTGTCTTTTGTCTGTCATTCGTAAACAATAGCTAAAACCGTGAAACTACTCCGTCGACAAATTAGCGCTTCTGACCGGATTCCGGACAGATTTTGCGTCATCAGCATGGAATTTCTGTCGCTGAGTCGCAGACGTCCCTCCTCTTGAGGAGAAACATCTGCCGTTCGCAGGCTAACCTCAACTCCAGTTAAACCTTTTGGTCAGCCCTCGCCTTCTGTTGTCGATTCTCCGGCCATTATTGCTGATAGTTTGCTTAGCACTTCTGAGCTTTGGAGTAAGTCTCCCATTCGAGATCTCGGTGGCGTAGATGGCGAGAGCAATAAATCAGCAATGTAAGTTGC